AGATTCAGTAGCCAGAACGGGCCGTTCCCAAATTGGAACGGGCCGTTCCAAACTACTGAAGGAGAATGGGCCGTTCCGGATGAGTTCCGTTCTGATTTTAGAACGGGCTGTTCTGCAAGTGATTTTTGTGCGTATTAAGGGAGTTCAGAACGGGTCGTTCCGGTATCGGTACAGGCCGTTCTGCCCAATCCGAAAAGTCTATAAATAGGGGTTGGGCGCCTTCAAGAGAATGTGAGTTTTAGAGAGAAGTTTTAGAGAGAAGGTCTCTCGGTCTGTGAGCTCCTTTTTCTCCCAAATTTCTCTGTATGACTCCTTTTCTTCTCTAGATCACTAACGCCTTTTGGCTTTTCTTGAAATTCAGATTAGGAAGCTTACTTTGGGAGGATTGAAGTTTCGGGTTGAGCTTCGGCAAGAAATTCTACTTCTTCTCAGTTATTGGCTATTTTGAGCCAATCTTCAGGTGAGGGAAGTTAGAGTGTAGATTGACTAAGTTGTTTTTATGTTGTTTATATAAGTTGACCTTATAGATGAATTTTAAATATGTTGTATATTGCTGAAGTTGTTTATAAAGTTTGTTAAGTTACATTAAGTTGATATTGTAATGACTATAGTTGTTTATAAGTTGTTTGCATGTTGTAAGTTGTCTATTGTCGTTAAGATGTATATTGCTGTAAAGTTGATGTGATGTCTATTGCTGAAAAGTTGTATGTTGTTTAAGTTGTTATGCTTATTAAGTTGTGAGTTGATTGTGTTGTTCAAGTTGAAAGTTGATTGAGATGATGAGTTGAAAAGTTGTGTGTTGTCTAAGTTGTTGAGCTGATATATGTTGTTGATTTATAAGTTGATTAAACTGTGATGATAAGTTGTTGATCACTAGGACTAGGGGAGATGTTTTCGAAGTTGCTCATCCCATTGTGTGGATTGAGATAGTTGTGGTGCTCTGAGAGCCCAATTTGTTGAAAAACCCTCATTGGGAAGTTGTCCCTTGCAGTGGACGTTGTATCGTTCTCCTCTAGGACTTAGTTGGTCCTGTGTGTGGGCAAGGTCGAGGCACACGTGTACAAAGCGACCACAGTATAGGGGCCAGGTCGAACTATACTGATTACAAGCGGCCAGAAGTTGAGATACATAGTACTAAGGTGATAAGTTGAAAGTTGTTTTAAAGTTGAAAGTTGTTTTAAAGTTGAATCCCTTAATACTGTGTGGGCGACATGGAAATAGTCGATCCATGTCATGGTTGAATGACCAATTTGAGTAAGGTATCTAGTTAGAGATGCAGTCTTTGACTAGATACTGGAGGGTGCGTGGTACTTGGAGGACAGTGGGTGGGCTAACTCCACATGTGGATTGGTGAAGCTAGCCAAGGCCGTGGTAGGCTCATACCCAAACCCTTCTGTCCTGACAGTAGTACTGGACCTCCGAGTCTAAGTGGCACACCTGAGAAATCACCTATTGTTGTCTATACCTGGTTCTCTTCAGAGTTCCTAACGTTGTACTATACCTGACCTGGTGGAGATAGGTCAAACGTTGGATTCGGTAGGGTTTATGCCACCTAGACTGCTCAACTTCAGTTGTTGGAGATCTCCCAGTTGTACAAGCGTGACGACGCATTAAACATTAAGTTGTATATTGTTATTGTTGTTGTATTAAAGTTGCTTCTAAGCTGTATGAATGAGTTGGATTTTATGTTGAATTGCATGGTCATTTGTGATGATGATTGTTATGTATTTATTGCATGATTGTTAATATGTTGATTGTGTGGTATGGACTATTGTCTGTACTTGTATGATTGATTTTTTTTAAACTCTAGCTTACCCTTCTGTTTTCATGTGGTGGAACTGGGATGATCATACTTGGTATGAGAGCAGGTCAGAGCTAGCTTGGAGTTGAGGTGACTGTTGCGAGACGGGGAGTTTTGATACTCGTGTTAGAGTTGTCACCTTGGGTAGCAGTTTTGTGCTTGACCGGCACTAGGAGATAGTAGTTTTGGATAACTGTATAAATACCCAATACTTAAAAACTTAATGATTTATATATATATATATAAATTTTTTTTTTATGTTTTTGTATTTATAAGTTATCCAATTTTATTATTTATCTTAGTTCATTATTTTTAGTGCGATTCCACTAAGTGTAGGGACCACGGCGGGTCGTTACAACCAGCACATCTTGGTAGTGCCTTTATACGCATGAAGGCACATCCGACATCGAGCACCTGAGCTCAGCGCCGCGTGTGATACAACACTCAAATGCACCAACTACGATACAGTAATCAATCATGGAAATTCTAATCATCCAAAACTCATTTTTATGTCGAGAAAATCTACCATTCAATATGCATTCATCAAATTAAATGCCTACAACTTTTATCCCTAAAATTATCAATTCTTCTCCCTTAGGTTCTAACCCGCTTTTTACAGAACACTCAGTTAATTAATTTTAAAGCATCAGATTTCTTAAAAAATTTATATTAAGAATCTTATCAATAAACAACATCAAACGCAAATAAGATTTCATCAAACAGAGCACTTATAGGATTGGGAACCAACCCCTCTACCCTTCATGCATAAACCTAATTCCCAAAGATGGGTTTTCTCATTCCCCCTTTACTTGGATAATCTCTAGATGACGGTGCATGACTCCAAGATGATTTCCTTCCTACTCTTGCTCTTTGAGTTCTTAGGCGTGTATGTGCAAATAAAGGTGTAAGAGAGTTTGATCAAAAACTATTATTTTAAAAATCTTAACCTTCCATTAACCCTCATTTAGTTATAACAGTTAACCACAGTTACAAATTCCTTTTCCCTTTAATAAACATTATAATAACCTTTAATAAAATCACTATATATTATATTCTAAATTATATTAAATAATTAAAACAAATATTTAACAACCTTTACTAATAAGATAAAAATATCAAAATTTAATACTTATATTATATTTTATAAAAAATGGGGTGTTACAATAAAAAATAAAATAAAATGAAAAGGAAAATTTTAAAATACAATAAATAATATAAAAATAAAAATATTGTTGTTGTTATTATTATTTTTTTATAAATTATTTAGAGGTACAACTCTTTCCACCACAATGATTCATGTAAACCCAAAATCCTAAATCCTAAAATTGTTTAATCTCATTAGATATATTTATTTACTCAAATATTATTATAAATATGACATTAAACTAAAAATTTAACACCTTTTAGTTAAAATTATTTAAATATAGGATTCAACAAAAGAAATAAATAAAGAAAATATTATATAATAAATAAAAAGAATAAAAATATATTATTTAATTTCATTCAAATAAAAAAATAAAAAAATAATAACAAATACTATTAAATTGTAGAAATAAACTTTAATGATATTATTAAAATTGATAAGGTCAATAAATAATAAGATACAAGAAAGAGAGAGATAAAGATATGGGGAGAGAGAGAAAGGGAGAGGGAAAGAAGGGGAGTGAAAGTGAGTGATAGAAAGAGAAAGAGAAATGGAAGGAGAGGGAGAAAGAAAGAGAGGAGGTATGAGAGTGATAGAGACAAAGAAAGAGGGAGAGAGAAATATAAGGGGAGAGAAAGAGGAAGACAGGGGGAGTAAGAGTGAGGGCGAGAGAGAGATACAAAGAGTGACTAAAAGAGGGAGAAAGATAAAAGCAATGAGAGAAAGAGAAAAACATTTTGTTTTTAAAAAGAGATATTGTGGTTTTGTTATATACATAATTTTTTTTTCTCAAACTCGAGAAAGTTAGATTTTCACTCATTTATGAGGATGTTTTTGTGGGAAAGTGAGATAAAAATAATTTTCAGGAAACTATATTTTTGAATTTTTTTTTCTTTTCCAATAGCTACCAAACAAGAAAAACTATGATTTTTAATTTAAGATTTTCAAGAAAGTAAAAATATTTCGCGTATCAAAAATTCACTAAGTGTGTCATCACTTTCATGTAGAACGCAAATTCCCTTATTTTAAAAGTAAATTTTGATAGATTTAGTTTACTCAATAATTCATATTGTATATTAAATTTTAATGGTTCAACTATGTAATTACAAAAAATTATGTATAGAGTAAGTTTACAAAATTTTAAAAAATTTAAAAATTATTTAATACTTTATTTTATTAATTCAAATTAATAGATAATTATAAAAATATTTTACATGTTGATTTGAATATATTTAACATTCTTTTTAAATTTTTTAAGAAACACATACTAATAATAATAATAATTTTTCATACAGACATAGAATGTATTTTCTCTTGATAGTGTAAAATTTATATTTTCATATACATGGTTTATATAAAACCTTAAAACTAGTAATTAAAACTAATTTCTTTCCATAAAAAAAAGTAATTTTTGCTAGCTAAATAGTACATTTTAATACATAATAGTGTGTATACATAGATATAGAGAAAAGATCTACTTATTTCAAGAGATTTACACAACTCAAGAACTTATATTAAATTTTAGTGATCAAATCGTCAAATTAAAAGTTCATGATATATAAATTAAGTCTATAAATTTTTAAAAAATTTAAAAACTAATTGATATTCTATTTTTTTATTCAAATTGAAGGATAATCATCAAAATATTTTAAACATTAATTTGAATTAATGAAACAAAATGTTAAAATATTTTCAAAATTTCTAAATACTTACAAACTTAGATCTATACATTAATAACTTTTGATTTAACGATCGCTAAAATGATATAAATTATTAAGTGAATAAGTCTTTTAAAATAATTGAATTTCTTCTTTCATTATATATATTATTACATATTAATTATTAAATCATTTAAATTTGATATAAATAATAAATTATTGAATAAAATGAATTTATACTTGAAGTAAATGAATATTTTGTATTTATATATTTATTATTATTATTTATATCAACATGTATTTAAACATATGTAGTTTAAATATTTGGTTATCCGAAAATTGAGGATTAAAATTAAAACACGACTCTTGAAGTATGGTACAGTATAAATCACGATCAAAGAAACGACGACAAGTCATGTTGGCACGAAAAAGTTGTTGAGTTAAGGATAGAACCTTCCCCTAATAACGAGTGGCGTAACAACCCAGCAAAAGAAAACGAAGCATGTCCATCTCCATCTTCTTCTTCCACTGAATTCTCACTCACTCTCACACCTTCATGGCCACTGCCACTTCCCTATCCTTCTCCATTTCTCCCACAACAACAGCCTCACCCTTCAGATCCAAAGTCTCCGCCATGGCCACCACCATCGTCACCGCCCCTGCCACCAAGGTCGCTCCCGCCGTCATTGTCGGCGGCGGAAGAGTTGGCAGGGCCTTGCAAGACATGGGCACCGGCCAAGACTTCCTCGTCCGCCGGGGAGAGTCCGTACCCCTCAATTTCGAGGGCCCCATCTTCGTCTGCACCAGAAACGATGATCTTGATTCCGTTCTTCAATCCACTCCTCCTTCCAGATGGCCCGGTAACCCCTTTCACCTAAAAATTTGATTTTTATTTTCAATGCCATTCCGTTGGGTATTAATGAGTCATTGATCGTGTGGCAGATTTGGTGTTTTTCCAGAATGGAATGATGGAGCCGTGGTTGGAAAGCAAAGGGTTGAGTGAGGCAAACCAAGTGTTGGCGTATTTTGCTGTGTCCAAAATTGGGGAAACTCCTATTGATGGTAGGACTGATACCAATCCTGAAGGACTCACTGCTGCATTTGGCAAGTGGGCTTCTGTTGTTGCTGCAAGATTAAATGCTGGAAGCCTCTCTTGCAAGGTATGCATAATAACAATATCTATCTTTGCAATGTCTCTTCTTTTTCTTAAAAATATATATTCATTTAACACCACTTTGGTACATGAATTTAGAATATGCTGTAGCATTAGTTTTAAAGTGTAAATTAATAATAATTACATAAGTCCAAAACTCAAAGAAATATGTGATTAAAGTTATTATATATATATATATATATATATATATATATCTATAAACTAAAATAACATTAAGAAAGATTTATTTGACATTTTAGGAATTAATTTTACAATTTATTAGTTTTAGATGCTAATATGACAACCTCTTCAACTAAAGTGGTGTAAGTGGTTACTCAAAATATTTGTGGGACTTCTTTTTACTTTTGGGAAATTCAAGTGTCTTAATTCTCACTTATTATGATTTTGGTTTTTTTGTTTTTGGTCACTTATCATGTTTTTGGTTTGCTTGGCGTCAAGATTGGAATTATGAGAATTTCTTGTATAATGTTAGAGGGAAATGTTTACAAATCTGAATCTGATAATATATCATACGCTGATCTATGTCTCAAAAGCCAGGTTCTTGACAAGGAGGCGTTTCAGAAGCAGATGTTGGAGAAGCTTATATGGATTTGTTCTGTCATGCTTGTTGGAGCACGTCATGGAGGGGCTTCTGTTGGTGTTGTGGAAAAGGAATTCCGCTCCGAAGTAAGCTTTGCAGTTGTCAATTTCTCCGAGTTAATCTGCTAATTCTGTTAATCAATGACATTTTGCTTGATTACAAGACAACATAACATGTACACGATTAGTATCCGGTTCATCCCTCTCTCCCTCTTTGACTCTATCTATAGATAAAGTTTCTTCTTTTGGGTCTTCAAGAGGGGTGTCTACTCAGTGACCTATATCAATTTCTATGTACTAGCAGGGTTACAAATGAGTAGGTAGAGAGGGCCCTGAGTTTTGGTGAAATCAAGTTAACATAAAATATGTTCATAGTTCAATCTATTTACCAAAAAGGTCTAGCATAGTTAGCACTTAGTAGATAGTTGGCTCCTTGAGGACAGGGTTTGATTCTTATATGTTTTGTTGCTTCAAAAAGAATTAGTCTATGACTATCAGCGGAACATAACCTTGTTGCTAACAAAAAAAGTTCAATCAATTTATTTGTTTGTGGATTGCTTAATATGATTAAAATCAGAAGTCATTTTTGAATAGCTTCCTGTTAAATCATCTGCTTCTATTAAAAAGAGTTTAATAGTTATGTATTGTCGATGTAAAAGTTCTATACAATCAACCAATTAGAAATTACAATTTATGACTTCTAAGGTAATTGTTGAAAAAGTCAACAAACTTATATTTTATAATAAGTCGTGATTGGATGGCCGTGTAAAATTGCTTTATATTGTATGAATTTAGAATTTTGGATTTAGGGTTTATAATTAAATTCTTAAAAAAATTGATTTTTATGATTATAAACAAACATAAATCAATTTTAAAAAAATCTGAAAATTAATGGCTAAATTATTTTACATCAAATCGCTTTTCTTTAATGATGTATCCAATACTAAATATATAATAGGCAATGAGCACTGACTGATGTTTGCCCTTTCAGTTGGCTCGCCTCATAGCAGAACTGGCATCAGCAGCAGCAAGTGAAAAGGGGTTAACATTTGAAGAAGCCATGGAAGAGCGCTTATGTGCATATTCCCGCGCAGTGGCCCACTTCCCCACAGCAGTTAAGGAGGTAAATGACAGTAACAACTAACAATTATATTGGATTCACAAGAAAACCCATTAACTCTGAATTTGATACATATAAGCTGTTATGTTGCAGTTCAAATGGAGGAATGGTTGGTTTTATTCTCTCTCTGAGAAGGCTACGGCACAAGGCCAGCCAGATCCATGCCCTTTGCATTCCCAATGGCTAAAAGAGTTGAGAATTGTATGAAGCTTCAACTCTAGTGTGTTGTGTGTGCCATGTGTCCAGTAGTTTGTAACAGTTGTGTAGACTTTAGCCACTAGCTTTTAAGAGTAATATAGTTTCGACCCTGTAAGCAAGCGCAGTTTAGTTAGTAAAATCTGAATTTCATTTCCTTCCATTACCAAGTATATTGATTTTCTATGGACTAAAACTTAGCTAGTGTATTGGATTGAAAATTAATATAATTGTGCATTTTTTACTCATCTCTTTGAAAGGTAAATAAGAAGAGATTTGTAAACGCTGAGAGGCTTCAAGATTTAAAACAGCAAAGGAAAAATGGACATAGTAAAAGCAAACTATCACACTAATAGAAGAATGTAGGTAGTATTTTCAGATATTCTCTTTATTATTTGTTTGAAATAGGGATGACAAAAATACCAGTATTTACGGGTATTCGCAGATAAATTTCGTCATGGATAATATATGGATAGCCTAAATAGATACTCATTGATAACATGTACGAGTACTTTTTTTTATCGATTTATAAACGAGACGGGAGTAGACATAGTAGTATTCATACCTATGAATATTTGCTAGGTAATATTACATAAATACTCATATTTTTATCTTATATTTTTTATATTTCGAAAGAATTATCATTAATTATCGGTTCAAAAATTAATTTTAATTGTTTATCTTTAGTGTTTTAATATACTTAATATCAAATATAAACTTAAAGTTTATTTATAATACTTTTTTTTATTTTCAAAATAACTTACGGATATTCATGGATATCTATGGGTATATTCACGCAGATATGAGACGGGTATGGAACATTTTTATTTGACAAGACGAGTATGAGTATCTTACTATTTGCCATCATAAGGACCATTGTCATTCCTAGTTTCAAATATTCTCTTTATTATTTATCAAAATTTATTAGATTTTACTACCTCCATTTGTTAATAATAGTCGTTTAAGAGAGTATTTTACAAAGATTAAGAAATGTAATATTTTTTTATTTTCTATAAAATGATTTTAACGTTTCCTTTAATACCTTCTTTTATTTTTGCCTCATAATAAATGTTTATTAGTTCTCATGTATAAATTAATTAACAGTTAGATGAGATATATAAATATAATTATTAACACAAAAATTAATGTTATCATGAAATTTAAAAATGACACCTTTATTTTTGTTTTGTAATAAATGTATATTACTTATCGTGTGTAAATTAATTAAAAATTAGATGAGATGTTATGATATACTACATTCAATCCTTTATAATAGTCGTTTAAAGTTGTGCAAATAAAAAAATGTAATAAATTTTCCTATTTTCCATATATTGGTTTTAATGTTTCCTATTATATCCTCTTTCATTTTTGTTTCATGATAAACAGTGATGAATCTAAAAAGTTTAAGTTGTGGGAGCAACTAAACCAATATATAAATTTATGATACCAATAATCTAATATAAAATAAAAACTAAAAAGTGATGTTATCTTATTGTAGTTATAATATATAATCAAATAATTATTTAACTATTTTATCTTCCATTCATTTTCTCATCCTATTTTTGACGATATTCATAAAATATATATATCTTTTTTATGAAAATTAGAGGAAAAAGAGACACATTGTGCCTTTCTTTTTAAAAGAAAAAATAAAAAATAATAAGTTGTTATTTAAAGTGCGGAAAGTTTAGATAGTAATAAATATTACAATCAAGTAAAGATTAGAGAGAAAATGAATAAATAATAGACAAACTAATTTAAAGATAATTATAAGGATAAATTAATCCAAAATTTGTGTACACAAAAAATGAGTATCTCCTCTCTTAATAATATAAATTAATAATATATAAATATTCAATAACAAAAGTTAAACACATACCTTGCAATGAACAATTATCTTTTCTTAATTTTTAATTATATATTGTGTGATAATTATTCTATTTACTATTTATTATGGAATAATTAATTCAATAATTTTTCCAAACTAAAACAAAAAAATTAAATAAATACACTAACAATTATAACATACAAAATTAAAAGGATTCAAAAAATTTAAAAAAACAAAACAAAACAAAAACTTAAAGAAATTTTTTTAATAAATTAAATTATGTCATCTTTAATTATTATAAAGTGAGGAATTTTCATTAAAAAATACAGTATATTAATAACAAAATTTGAAGATAATATTGACAGAAAAAATGTGAATAAAATATGAATATACAATATATTAAATATATAATATGGACAATTGGAATATAATAATAATAACAATACATATAAAAATAAGAAAGTGTGAAATATTAGTAGGGGCATTTGCCCCACTCTCTTATTATAAATTCGTCCTTAATGATAAATACATATTAGTTATCACAAGTAAATTAATTAAAAGTTTGTTGATATGTAGAGATATAATTGATACATAACAATTAATATTGTTTTGAACATGAAAAAGACAAATAAATAAAAACAAGATTTTTCTAAAAACCAGACAGAAAAAAAAAAAAAAGAAACAAAGGGAATAATGAATATTATAATAATTAATGTTTTCTTGAAATTTGAAAATGACAAGTAAATAAAAAAAATTACTAAAAAAACACCAACAAGTAAGAAGGAATGGAGAATATAAATTTTGATTGACACCACCGTATTAAATTAGGTGAGAGACTCATTAAATGAGATATTATCCGTATCAAAATTTGTAATTTCTAATGAATTTTGATTAATAATAAAATGTTAGAGATCTACATAAGAGACTCGTTAAATGAGATATTAAACGTATCAAAATTTGTAATTTCTAATGAATTTTGATTAATAATAAAATGTTAGAGATCTACATCAACTAGTAAATTGGCCAAATTAGCAAATTTAAATGAGGAGCAATCCTTATCTAATAAGACAGTTTTGTAAAGATGAGTTAGACTCATTACTCACTTTCTTAAAATGGTGTCAAAATTTATTATAGTAATTATTGATTGTTATTAGACTTATCAAATCACTTGCTACAAAGAGATTATCGAATAATTTAAAATATCTAGTTTTATAAACTTCACGTTTGAGATGTTTAGTTCCTAATGTGATGAAAATATATTAGAAATTTCAAACATAAAATTTGCAAAAATGAAACATCTGACAATGTTCAATAATAAAGGTCATAATCGTAGTTTTAAAAGTTTTAGTTTTATAAAACAGATAAATCTATAACTCAAACCAAAATATTAAAAAAGATATTAGAAAAAATATCCCTAACATTTCTTTAAATTAAAATGTTACTTTAAATCACACAATACTTTTTTTTTTTAAGTGAAGGGGAGTGTCTCCACGGATAATTAAATTGTTTTCTATTGAATAAAATATCGATTTGGTCTATAAAGTATTATCCTCTATCCTTGATAATAAAAGTAATGAAATTAAATAAAGAGTTTCTAAACTATTAAGTCCCAAGTATTAATATTTTTTAAAATTAGTCTCTCAATATTTAATCGATGAATTTTTAATATTATATAATTTTATTGCTTAAAGATTATTTAGGAAAGAGACTAATAATTAAGAGAGAAATTGATGGTTTATTCGTCCTTTATTACTGTGAGACAACATGGTATTCTACTAAGATCAGACTTTGTCCCCACAGAATATTGTATCTTTTGTTGCTTTGTAATGGCATTTAAGCCCAACTAAACCAACTTGACTACATGTTAACGGGCATGTGTTGGACCAAAAATTAAATTGGGCATTTGTGGCAAGAGTTCCTTCATCACTCAACAGATAAAAAAAAAAAAAGAAAAAAAAAAAAGTTCATTGACCACTCAGCGTAGTTGCCCCAACTAGACACGCACAAGCCACAACTGGAACCTTCCATAATGAACGTGTTTGATGATGTTTTGGTTTTCTGAAAATTGGTATTCTAGTACGATTTTTAGAGACAATAAAAATAAAATATGTTTGGATAGAATGATTCTGGAAACAATTTCGACAAATAAAAAGATAAAACAAATTGTTTTGACAGCTGAAATACAATCAAGCAAAGGCTGTCTTGAGGAGATCATGGCATGACAACTTAAAAACAATTTCAATGATGGGAATACAGGTTGGATTTGATCTTCATGAGATAAGATCTGAGTCGTTATCTTTGTACATAGTAACTTCTCTTTATATATATAGAAAGAGGATAAAAACTTGTAAAAGAGTGATTGTTTCATAACAAAATATTATTCTTTCGGTTTCCAAAAGAAACGATAAAAGTAATTCATTTAATTTGTTTCCATTTTCAATATATTTTACAATAACTATGAAAGATTCAAGATTACACTCACATGAAAACTGTTATTATTCAAGCTTATAGACTGAAGGCTAATTTACTAAATGAGAGTCTCATGTTCAAGTAACAGTTAGAGTTTCTTTTATTGTTGAAATGAGAGTACAATTAAGAATAACCGTTAGATTGCCAAAGTGTTTATAAAATATATGATTTGATATTGTCATTAAGAATATTGGGTTACAGATGGTAAGAATTGATGAAATAGAAAATATGTTTGGTAAGTTGAAATAGGTTAAGAATTATGCAGTGGGGAAATGGGTGTAGTGTAACGTAAAAGGAACAAAATAGGAGATAGGAATCCGTGATTAGATAGAAAGAAAATAAAAAAAGAAGGGTAGTTTGGGTGTTAGGAAAGGTAGGGCCGTGCCCGTGCGCGTCCAAGAACTTTCCAATTTGTTGTATTGCATTTTGCATCCGATACAATTATACAAACATGTCACCTACATTATTATAATAATTTAATCATATAATTTTCACTCCATTACACTTCATATTCATAATACTATTATTTAATAATTTCCCTATCAATTCTTGAAATCGCACATTTTATCATTTGATTTAAACATTTTGTCCAATTAGTTGATCAACACCCTTAATTGACTATTGATTATTGATAATATTAAAAATTTTATTCATATTTTATCATCTCATTAATTGATTATTAATATATTACATTAATCATTAATTATTTTAAAATTTTCATATATTTTGTTACTTTATTAATTGACATAATATATTAATTATTAATGTTAACTTAAAAAATATACACATTTTATTAACATGTTACATATTTTTCTTTTCATTAACTAAAGGTTGATGTGGTATATTAACTATTGTTAACAATGCACCATAACCGTAAATGTGACACATTATATCATAACATAATTTATATATTATATTTGAAATTAATAATGTCAATTAATTATGAAATAA